AATTGTAAAATGTGGATCTTACACAGATCTCTGTTGCTCTTTGGCCAAGTGCCCTGTTTTTAGTGTTTCCTTTAGGTGGCTGTAGAAGACCCATTTTGTTTTTGTTAAAAAAATATCTTTACAGTGTGCTGGACTCTCTTTGCAAGATGCATAGTTACATAGGAAGGCTGGGTGACTGGCTCTGGGCTCAAATTGAGTTCCTAGTTAGGTGCTCATATGGAAGAAGTCCAAGTTAGTCTTTGAATTGAGTGCTGTACCTGCCTTGTGTTACATTGCATAGATAACCCGACCTAGCTTTTTTTCCTAGCTTTTGTTTGTGTGTTCTTTCACAAAGCTGTGCTGTGCTGCAGTATTACTCATCCTGCTTGTGGTATGCAGTCATGACTTATTATGAATGGCAGCTCTTACAGTAATTCCTAAAAAAACAGGAAAAATGTCTGCTCATGTCCATCAGCTAAATTGTGGGCCTCGTGTATGTTTGCTGAATGCTATGAAATATGGTAGGAAATTAGTACAGCAGAACATGATGCAAAATAATATCAGAGGGAAAGCTAACAGCCCTAATCTGTTTATCTGACATTTATTTTACCCACTCATTTTCACATAGATTTCATTCACTCATATCCTCACACCCACACACTTGGAAAGCAATGAGATGTTTTGTGCAACACAGAAAGCTGGGAACTGCCTCATGTGTCCTCATCATGCGGTTCCTGATTTGTGCTGGACAAATTTTTTAAAATCCTTTAGAAGTGTCCTTTTGCTATTCCTGTTGTACTGATGGGGAGAGGAATGCTGTATTTGACATGCTGCAAAATCACTGCCAGCCTCCTGTTGCTGTTGTCTTCCCTCAAAGAGTGATTTGCACTGAGGTTTAATTGGGGTGTGGCCATGTGTGCTGGACAAAAACAACAGGATCCTCAGTCTGGCCGAGTAAAAAGGATTCTTTGCCATCATACAAACCATTCTTTTAACTTGCTTTGCTGTTATTTTCTGGTGCTTTCTCTTTCTGTGTTGACAGTCACATTTCATTCACTGCCATCTTAAATATTTCTATTACGAGTCTCTGCAGCACAGCTACAGGCCAAGTAATCTCTGTGGGGCATCTCTAATACTTTTACCATAAATGATGCCACATTTTGTCATCTTTCATGTTTTACAGCAATTTATGCATTTCTATTTTAGACTGCTTCAGATGTATAATGAGCTACAGAAACGTTATGTTAAAGAAACCAAAACAAACAAGGAGCAAAGTGAAGCAATTAAAAATCTCACTGTAAGTAGAATTTGTTGGAGTTGGTATTAAACAGCCCAACAAAAGCTTTTAGGGAGACTGAAAAGTAATTCTTACATTTGTGAAATGAGACCATGCTTTTCTTTTTATAGTTAGTTTCCCATGGCAGGGATACTGGAGGGTAGCCTGTAGTTCCCTTTAAAACTGAACTCTGTCACTGGTCTGTCTGTAGCAGAAAGATGTCTCCCCTTCCCTTGTTTTTTCTTTACTCATCTGCCTACCCCTCCTTCCAATTGTATATGCACCTTGTGAGCTCTTTTGCACCAGCCCTGGTATTCTTCTGCATGTGTCATGAGCTGATTTTTCTCAGAAATTCAGCAGAAGGCAAACCAGATGAAGACAAAGAGTGTTCTTTTGGGTAGCAAGGTCTGTGGCTCTGCTGTGCAAAGAGTCTGGCATCATGACTGGAGTGAAGGTAGGGTTGTGTGGCCAGGAGCAGTTCTAGAAGCTTCAAGAGATTATTGCCTCTTCAGGCCTGGATCGAGCATTGCAGCTGACCAGTCTAATTTCCTCATTTGTGCTTGGTTTTTTTTCCTTTCAGACCCTTTGGGTGAATGTTGTTTTTAAATCAGCAGTTGAAAATGCTAGGTTTGCATTTGATGAGTTATGTTTCCAATTGTGTTCAGTTGAGCTGCATTTTTTCTATGCATTTTAAAAAGATTTTCTTGACAGATTAAAATTAATGAGCTAGAGCACAATCTTCAAGAGCAGAGGCAAAGAATTGAGCAACTGGAATGTAAAAAGATTTATTGGAAAACTAGTGCTCTTTCTAGAAAAAGAAGTCAAACCCCAGAGGGAGGAGTAACTTCTCACAAGGACATTTCTGCAGAGAAGGAAGCCTGTTGCAGTAGGTACTTAGGTAATGGTGCAGTTAATTCTGATGATGTTCCTTCCAGTACGCCCAGCAGAGGGAATGCATTTTATTTCTGATCCAGAAGCCACTCCAGGCTATTTCTTCTCCTTCAACCAGCAGTAGCTAAAATGTTTTTTTTTTTGTTTTTGAAAACCGGTTGTGTAAAAATGGCATTTTGTAATCTGGGATTCCTCCTTGCATTTGTTTGTGATAAAACTTTGCTGTTTTCTCTTTTTCTGAAACTGATCTGTTGTTGTAATCAGAGGTGGGAGTGCGTGGCTGTATTTAGTGCTGGTATTTATTCTAGTAAGATGTATCTGTGCAGATCTCTTAATAATAATGTTTGCTGCACCAGCCTTTGGTTTTCAGACACTGAGTCACAGAATAACCTGTTTTTAGCCTTAAAACATTGGCCAAGCCTGGGCAGTGCTGGTTTCAGTACGTTCTTCCTCTCATAATCAAATCCAGAATTTAAGGTGTGATCCTCTTCCACTTCAAAGCATAGAAAAGAGATGGATGAGATCATATAATGTAGGCATAAATTTCAGGAAATGTGTATCAGCAAGGGCTGATGTGACCCTCTCATGAGCCTGAAAAAGATAATCGAAACATGTGATGTGTGTTTTGTGGATTGTAAAATAATCCCACATCTAAGAATCTGGCAGATCCAGATTATCCAACTGGCAGATCCTGATATCTTTCATAGTACCTGGGAATATGCTGTTCTTAAGAATAAATCACTTTATGAAAAAGGTACTTTGAGAAGCTGAACTATAATTTTCTAATATCACAAAAGGTAGGCAGCTCTTTAGCTGTAATATGATTCATATGAGGGGGAGGTTGACTGTAATGGTTGAACTCTACATTTTTTCATTTGAATATAGAGCTATTGTTGAAGGAGATTAAAAAGCTGAAGAAAGAAAATGGAAAGTTGTCTGCAGAAAAGAGAGCACTAAAAAATGAATTAGCTGGATTAGACAAGGTAATTTATTTTAAGACAAGCTTAAGAGTAGGTGATTTTTGAAAAACTTAACTTTTCTGCCTGAACTGAAACTTCTTTAGGCTGGATATATGTTGTTATAAAGTAAAATAGATAAAAACCCAGTGTATAGCATTCTGAGAGAGATGGAAATGAGTGACTCCTTGAAACATTGATGTCCTGAAGGGCTACCCAGCTAAGGAAGACTATTTTCTCTTGAGCTTAAGGATGTCAAAGTTATGCCTCTGACAGAAGTTTATGCCTCTGACCAAGTTTAGGGAGGGCAGAGGCTTTGAATTTTTTCTTAGATCTATAGGTGTAAAAATTGAAAATGTGAACATTTGGTAATTCTTTAAGTTATGTAACAAGATTATGAGCTCTTACTTAACTATAGCAGACTCAGTTTAATGTACTGACATAAGGTTTTATTTTCAGCAGCAAATTGTTTAAACTGATTTTTGCTTATTCCTCAAGTCTTTTTGTTTTGTTGTTGCGGATTTTTTTTTTTTTGAAGAATCTCTTTTCTTACCTTGCGGTCCTTTCTCCCAAAGTAAATAACATTATGGTGTTAATTGCAGAGGTAACAGTAAAAGAGGGTGATAGCTCATTGGATGTGTAATTTGCAGAACATCAAGCCAGGGTGAGTTCTAGATCCCTGTGTTTGGGAATCAGGGACAATGTGTGGCTGAGAGCTTCATCTTGCAAGAGAGATACATGAACTTGAGGATGTGGCTTTTTATCAGTGGTTCCTTTTTAAGGTAGTTTAAAGTTGCTGTATGTTATATGTATGTAGCTGTTCATTTAAAAAATGCTGCAATAGGGAGGAGAATGTCAAATATAGATGGTTATAGGTAGATACATTGTTATTTTGGTACCTAGAACATTCAAGGATTGGTGAAATGAAGTCTTGGGTGATTATACTCTTCTGTCCATATATTTCCCAACAATTTCTGATTTACAAAGGATTAGAATGTGACATTATTCCCTTGTCATATTGAACTGTCATTTTGTAGCTGGCTGGTAAATCCATATTTTTCCCTTTTTAAAACTGGTCTTTCCTATTACTAGTCTGTATTCCAGCCTCTAACATAACTTGTACTCTACTTGTGTGCTCAGGGCAGAAATTATTAAATTATTATCTAAGGTTGTAGTTGATTGCTGTATCTCACCATAGCTGTTTGCATAACTCAGCCATACACTGGTAAAAATATAGAAAGTGTCTTGGAATAACTGAGCTGCTGACTAGCTCTTACTGAGAATGCTTTTGAAAAAAAAAGTTTAAGGTGAATATTTTTGGGTTTTTCTAGGATTTTTTTGAAGAGGTAGAAGATCTAAAACATGCTGTACAGGAATCTGTGAAACTGAACAATGAGTATGAAAAGTGCTTGAAGCAAATCAGTGTAATATATGGACTTCCTTTTACAGCACATTTGTAACTACTGGGTAATTTAATGCCGGGTAGAGTTTCTACATAATTTTATAATTACTGCAACATTTAAACCTACCATAGCTTAAGTGGTACCATAGTTTGATAATATGGATTCAGTAATGTGATCTCAATATGACAAGTGCTTGGAAATGTATTTTGTGACCTTGATTTTTTTGTTTGTTTATATATTTTTAAATAAACTGTGATCTGCATAACTTCAACTAAGTTTCAAACCCATCTCTTTCACACTTGCAGAATATATTCTGGTTGTGAAACCAGAATGAAATTGTTTTATTTTTCAGAATTTCCCAATTTATCCTTTTCTGTAAGCTACATAAAATCAAAGTGTCTGTGTAGATTTGTCAGTCTGCATGAATTTCAGCACTAAGGAGGTACTAATGCAAACAGAAATTAATTCTATCATTAAATTATTGCAGAGGGGTTTCTTAAAAGAAAAATGCTAAATCTCTGCTTGAAATTTTTCTTCAATCCCAATAATAAGTGAAAAATTGTGGATGAAGGAAGGATTTAGTGTTCAGAATTGGAAAGTATGTTCAGAGCATTTTGCATCACCAAAAGAAGAATTCTTTGATTCAAGAGTGAGGTACGTGAAGAACTCTGGTGTTTGAAGAGCTGAAAAGGAAAGTGGGAGTGCAGAAAGTCACAGTCCACAAGGCAGAAATGTTGTGTTGCTTCAGGGAGGGCGAGCAGGGAATGAAAAGAGACAACTCCCAGTTACAAGTGTAGCTTCAGAACCTTGGGAGATTTGAATCTCAACTTGTTTGTAATGACATGTAAGGAAAGTTTAACATAGTTACAGTACAGAACAATGTTTTTCTGAAAGGTGTAAATCTCTGCCTTTGTGACATTGTGGTGGTGGATGAAGTTGATTGAGAACTGCTTAGGGTAGAAAGACTTGTTTATAACCTAATACAGCTTCTTTAGCTTCCTAAAAGTACACGGACACTCCCGAGGGATAGGATTAGGAGTAGGATTAAGACTCTTGTGTCCCACTTGGTTTGTTAGGAGAGTTTTATGCAGCTGTAATTTAATAAAGAAATTGGCCTCAAAGCGTGTGCGGTGTTCGGAGTTGCATATTCACTAAGTGATAGGGTAAAGCTCCAGAACTGCTTGTGCCTGCTCTGGCTGTAGACCACTGTGTTCCCTTGTTTCATTCTTGGCTCATTGTAAATTAAAACTGGATAATGTTCTGAACAAGAGATGGGGAAGGGAAACAAAAGAGGAGCAATGCAAATCTGTGTTGCCAGTAAACCTCCTGGAAGATAATAAGGAGGATAGCGTGTATAACAGAGAGTTATAAGTGCAGAAATGTTTGTAACATTTGCTAATGAGTAAAATAAGCATGAATGCTGGAGGAGGAAGCAGTGCCAGTTACTGGAGTCTTTTCCCTCCCAGTGTTGTGGTGTAAAGTTACACTTTCAGCATGTTTACACTTTGGCCCCGTTGTTAAATGATTCAGTAATTGTCCTCGTCCACAGGCTGATTTTTAAATGTCGTGCAGAGCAAGAAGCAGTGAGGAATCCTTCAGTCTTTTCTCATAACTAAGGTCTCCCAGCTGTGGTGGGGAAATCTGCTCTAACGAGAGAAATGAGCCTTGAGAGGGGGCGCGGCAGCGACGCGCGGGGCCGCAGCTCCAGCCAGCAGCGGCGGTGCAGCCCCGGCGGAGGTCGCTGGGATGGGACGGGAGGGGATGGGATGGGAGCGGAGCGGAGCAGCCGTGGGCGGGCAGGTGGCAGAGCGAGGTGGGCAGGGATTTCTCTCAGCCAGTAGCAGGAGCTGTCTTTCAGCTCGATCTGCATCGCTGCCTGTCTATGAGGTTGGGTTGGGTTTTTTTTTTTTTCTTTTTTTTATTTCCCTTTCCGCTTTTCCTTTCACTATCAGGAAGGCTGGCGGTGTAGGGTGCAGATGGGGCACCTGTGGCAAGCTCCGCATCTGCGGCACAACTCCCCAGACGGTGACAATTAGCGGCAGGAACGCCGGAGGAGGAATGCATGTGGAAGTGACCGGCTCTGGGGCACTGATTGTGTCTGTTGCTGCCTGTGACTTCTGAAAATGGCAGTTCTGCCTTGAAGATATTTTTATATTCTACTGATTGCAGGTTTGGTTTGTTGGTGTGGGTATCTTTTTTTTTAAACTTGACAGTATCAGTTTGCTCTTGAAGCTGTGATATCTATTTATTTATTTATTTATTTATTTATTTTCTGGATCTATTTTATGGCTAATGCAAGTTAACTTATTGGCATTTTCTATCCAAATTAATGCTGGTTTTGTTGGAAGAGGAGACTGTTTCAGACTACCAAAGTCTACTTCCAAATAAGCACTACTTCCTACTTTGCAGGATAAAGCCATATAAATTTATGGATAATAACATTCTTTGGATAAGAATTTGCCTGTCTTTTTGTCCTGGTTGCTGTGCCATTTAGCAGATTCCTGTGCTTTGATCTTTCCTCCTTGTGAGATGTACAATTAAGGTGTTGTTATTTTGTTTGCTATTCAAAGTGCAGGCAAGAGGAGTATTAAACAGGTTAATCAGTTTATATGTGTAGTTCCACGTATTGTGGAATTTGTGACATTTGGCCAGTGGCTTTCTCCTGCTAAACCAAGTTTAGGTAGAACTGAATTCCATGCAATTAAGTATTAGTCATGCTACTGTTTGATAATGCATATTAGAAATGTTTCATGGTGCAGGCTGGTGGTTCTTTGTCTCAAATAAGTATTTTGTAGTGCTGATAAGGGAAGCTTGTGTTTGAAAATAAGTGGCTATTATCAAGTAGTGGTTTTGGTTGGAAAAATAATATAATAATCATCATGTGTCAGTATTAACTTTCCATGAGTCATAAATCAAATGGGCTAGTTCTCAGGACAGTGAAGCAATTTAACTTTGTTTTGTGTTCTGCATATAACTGAGGCCAAGATTTTAGAAACAATCCACTAATTTTGTATGGGTTTGTAATTTTGTCCCAATTTTCCTGATATGTAGAGTATAAATTTTAAAAGGTACCAAATATTCAAAGCTGTAGTCAGATTTAGCTAATTCAGACTTGGCCTGCTAATCACTGAATGCTATGTTCAGTAATTGCTCACATCCTGGATATTAATCCTAAAGTAGGATTTTTTTCTATTGTAGAAAGCAAAATTGCAATCCTGTTGTTGGGTGGGGGACCACATTTTGTGGATTTCTCTGGAAGTTCTTCCCGAGCCTGTGAAGCAGCATCTCTGTAGGTCCCCTGGAGTCCCTTTACTGTGACCATGCTACAGAGTTCACCTCTAAAGGACGGGGCTTTCAGACCTGCAGTGCTCTTCAGACTGAGACCCTGAGAGGCTGGACCTGGAAATTGAGGGATTTCATTGGAGAGTAAGGGCTGGTGCCTCTGTACTCTCAGCTGGGATACTTTCTTATGGATGTTTACCCTGAAAAAGTGTTCCTGCCAAGGGCTGTGGAAGAAACAAAAAAATACTCAAGTTTCAAAAGGGGTAGATTCCCTGTTTAGGTTACAAGGTATCCAAGGCAGCAGAAAACAGTAAATACAGTTACCTCACCAGTTTTGGCTCATTAATTGTTTCTCTACAGCTGCAGTGAAGTTTCTTTTTCCTGAGGCTTAGATGTTTCTTTTCCCCTTGTCAGAAATGAAGCAGTGTTAGTTAATTAGCTGTGTATCTGTGCCTGCACTCCTGGAAATGTCGTCCTGTAAACTTCTGGGATAGTGAATTGCCCTTGGTTCTTGGAGATTACAATGAATCGTATCAAAGGTGGTAGTGCTATTGATTTGGTGTAGTCATGTTCTGCACTTGTGCCAGAACTCTGGGAGTTGTTTAGCCTGGAGAAAAGGGGGCTGAGGGGAGACTTTATTGCTCTCTCCAACTTCTTGAAATTAGGCTGTAGCCAGCGGGGTGTTGGTCTGTTCTTCCAAATAAGTGATGGGACAAGAGGAAGTGGCCACAAGTTTGCCAGTGGAGATTTAGATTAGATTCTAGAAAAAATTTCTTCACTGAAATGGTTGTCCTGTATTGGAACAGGCTGCCCAGGGAATGGAGTAGTCACAATCCCTGCAGGGATTTAAAAGATGTATAGATGTGGCACCGAGGGACATGGTTTAGTGGTGGACTTGACAGTGCTGGGTTAAGGCTTGGACTCAGTCTTGGGGTTCTTTTCTAACCTCAGTGATTCCATATGGATCCTATCGGATTTTTTTTTTCTTTGTTGCAGCTGCTGTTCAAGCTAAGCTCTGTCTTCACCCACATTTGACCCCCACTCATAGTGTTTTCACTGTGAAGTTCTTAAAAAAGCATCATGCACCAAGATCCTGGCTGGCTGTAATCTGCTTTCCTTGGTGCTGGTGGGAGCGAGGGCAGTTCTGTGCTCAGCTGGCCAGCTGTGTGCCTGGAGGAGAACTTTATGCTTTAGGTCAATTACATATTCCCAAGCCTTTCAGGGTGACAAGAAGCTAACACTGTAGGCCTTGCATGGTAGCTTTCCACAGGGAATGCAGACTCAATGAATATTTTATTTTGTATTTTCTCCACAGGGATTTTGTGCTGACAAAAAGCCCAGTGTGATCCTTTGAGCAGCCCAAGCTGTTTTCATCTGAGAAGAGAACTAGAGCCATTGTCTTATGCTGGTACTGCAATGCTGAGTTCTAGCTCGACTGCTGTGAAGAATCTCCCTCTGAAGAGGAGGCTCTGTTTTCTGCTGAAACTTGTGTGCTTTGTCAGCTCAGTGTTAATATTTTGTGAATTTTTAATTTACTATGTGGTAATATTTCAATGCCGATGGCCAAAAGTGGAAGGTGGAGCTCACATGACTGAAAAAGATTCAGTCCTAAAGGCCATAATTTTAGCTGATACACACCTACTTGGTGAAATCAAAGGACATTGGCTGGATAAGCTAAGAAGGTAACTATTAATTTTTTAAAATAATCTCTAGCCAGTTTTAGAGTTTTTAGTAGTAGCTAATGGGACAATAATTCACTGTTCTATTAAACAGCAATTCATTAGAACTGTAATGAAAAACAAACAAGCTGCTATTACTTCTTGCATGTCTTGTATCACAGTGGAATTACCCACCAGGTAAGATGCACCTACTGTCCTTACACTTGATTTCTAAGTATTTAATTTGGATTTCATAATATATTTTCATATTTCAGTATTAGAGCCAGTTTCCCATTCCTGTTGCCAGGCTATGTGTCTGTATCCAAAGCTGAGGATCCAGAGGTAAGGCAGTGATAACTGGTTCTGTATTTTCCTTTCAGGGAATGGCAAATGGAGAGATCTTTCCAAACTGCCTTATGGTTACTGCAGCCAGATATTGTTTTTATTCTGGGAGATGTTTTTGATGAAGGAAAATGGAGCTCACCTCAGGTATGACATCATCAGCTGTCTTGTTTCAAAAAATGAGGATTTCTTGAGGGAAATGGAAGCAGATTAGGTATGCAAAGCTTTGCTTAATACTGCTACAGTTGTCCTGTTGGTAGAAGTTTCTAGCTTTTCAGATAGGAGTTGGAATGTTGTGATTCTCCTTCATTTTTGGAAGTACCTTGACAGTTTTGTGCCTCCTATAAAACTTACACAATGTAAACCTCTGAGTTTGTGCTTCTGTGTTAGACACTTGTGATGGGCCAGCCCTGGCTGGATGACCAGTGCCCAACAAAGCTGCCCTGTCACTTCCTTCCTTGGCTGGAGAGGGGAGAGAAAACACAAACAGACCTGCCTCCTTTACTGACCTTGGTGTTTGCAGGGCTCTTCCTCTCACAAATTCTTACTCCTCTCTCTGGCTGCAGTTGCAGGGATTCCTTTTTTGCCACCTTCCTTATTCTGTTATCCCAGAGGCACTGCCAGCCTTGGCCAGCGGTGGGTCCAGTTTGGAGCTGGCTGGCACCGGCTCTGTAGGACACAGAGGGGGCTCCCACAGAAGCCACCCCTGCCGCCCCTCCAGTACCAAAACCTCGCCTTGCAAACACACTACAAAACCTTTGATGCTGTGGAACAGCACCGATTTCTTCTTCTGTTATTCTCCTGCAGGCCTGGGCAGATGATGTCAGGAGGTTCCGGAAAATGTTCCAGCATTCAGTTTTTACGGAGCTGGTGGTCATCGCTGGGAACCACGACATCGGATTCCATTACGAGTGAGTCTCGTCAGTGCCAGGAGTACACAAGTGCCAAGAATGAAGGGTCAGCGTGCCCACAGTAACTGTGCAGGGTCTGAGGCACCTGTGTTGTGGTTTTATGGGAACTTTTGGATCATGATCAAATTAGAAAGGGTTGTAATTTAGAGTAAGACCTGTGCACAAAACAGGTTTATGCTTCTCTGGCCGTATGAGGGTTGTTCAGAGCTGATCCTTCTGCACTGACATGGAATCCTTGAAGCTCCTTTTCCTCGTTTTGGGCCTTCTCCTTAGAAAGGCACCTGAGCATATTCCCACTCCTGTTAGCACAGGAGAGTGTAAATGCCCTCACTCTGCTGGTGCTTGCACTGGTGGGAGGGGCTGGAGGATACAAGAGGTGTCAGAGCATCCCTGTGAGTTTCCTGAGTGATTGTGTGAGCTGGATAATGGAGCAGCAAGCTGCATGAGTGGTCAGCAAACTGTAAAGCCGCTGTGTCAGCTGAGTTCCAATGGCAATTTCTTACCTCAGTTGTATTTTTGCTCTGTGACACAGAATGACTACTTACAAGGTAAATCGATTTGAAAAGGTTTTCAACTTTACTTCAGGAAAGCTGATAACTCGGAAAGGAATAAAGTGAGTATATTTCATTTTTTTCTAATGAAATATTACGGGAATGCTTCACTTAGAGCCTGTTTTTTTTAATCACCTACCTTATGATGTGTTAAACCTCAAACACTTTGTACAGACCTGTAGTTTGATACGGACAGGAAGCTATACTTAGAGCTATGTAAAGTCTAACAATTTCCTTTTAAATGGAAAAGTACTGTGGAGTCAGAATCCATTTCTCTGGTGTGACTTTATACTTCCTTGCAGCAGGTAATGAGCCATGGCTGTAAACATAGCAGGATAAAGAAACATGAACCAACCCCCCTCTGTGTTTATAAATTAGGAGTTTCATTAATTTTAATAACTTTAGTCTGCAGAACTTAACCCTTGTTTGAGGAATTTGGGAACACAGCAGTTGTGTGTCTGCAGTTTTTCCACAAGGTGGGGTAGTAACGCTCGAGCTGGTTTTGGCTTCGAGCAGACCTCGGTTCGGTTTGTTCTCACAGCTGTGTCCCCGTGGCTGCACTTGGCTGCCGTGCGCTGTTACCTCCAGACACCGCGCAGGAAACGAAGAGGGAATGCAGTGCTGGGTTTGTGGAAAGGTGCTGAAGTCTCAGAGTCAGGAAGGGAAGGCCCGTCGCCGCTCTGTGTTTGGCATGTGTGCCCTTGGGTTGTACCCACTTGTGGAAATGTGAGATTCAAAACCTACAGGTTTACACTGGTTCCCTTAATTAAGCAAACAGATAAATGTTTAATTAAAAATTCTGAACAGGTCTGGAAATGGTTGTGTCTATTTTAGGAAGATTTCTGAGCTTCATGAAAGCTCAGTATAAAGCTGTTGCTTATCATGCAGATGTGGGGTACTCAAGATATGTATTTCAGCTGTTTAAAAAATAATTATTAAGGAACATCTCCATGTCTCCTTTGATAAAACAGCATAGCAGAATTCTTGTATGCAGTTGTAGATTGCCTGTCTGGTATCCATTAACTGCAATGAGCTACATTATTAATATTCCTAAAATAAATATTCCTAAATAAACTATTTTACAACAAATCTATGTTATAAAAGCAGCTTAATTTGCTAAAAGAGAATTAATTTTTGTTTTACTATTGACTAGTATCTCTTAAGTGAAGCATTCAGCTTATTTTTGTCTTTTAAACAGACTGAATTGAACTGGGGATGTAGCTCAAGCTGAATGTGAGACTAAACGGGTGTGAATCTTGTGGCAGAACTTAAGGTGATTTGAAATCTACAGGGAAACCTTTCATTAAGAATAAAATCCTGCTTTTTGTGTCAGAGACCACGAAGTACAAAACTAAGTTTGTTCAGCGCAGTCACCCAAATGCAGTGCTGTTCTGCTTTTCAGTTGGTCTGAAGAAATTCAATGTCTCAAATTCTGTCTCTGAGGTCTAAACTGTGTGGGGAGAGAAGCAAGTTCTCCTTTCCCTCAGAATTTAGTTTAGTGATGAACTTCTAACATTCCACTAGAATACAACTTAAGTATCCATTAAAATAAAAAAAAATCTTTAGTGTAAGCATGAAGCATAAGGTACATTGTGCAATCTAATTAACAACTGTATAAAGGTGCCAACCAGGCAGAGACATGGCTGTGGCACAGATACTCAGAGGAAGATCTGTAACACACAATTTCAGGAGCTGTTACATTCTGCTGCTTTGTTGAGCTATGTCCAACTTAGGAACAGTTGCATTTTATAAAATGAAGTTTATCCCACACGTGTGCATGAACAACAAATGCCTTCCTGTCCTCCCCATTTCTCTTAGCCCACCCCCTGGTATTTTCCAGCTTTGTCCTAGTGAACAGTGTGGCCATGGAGGGCGATGGCTGTGCTGTCTGCCGTACCTCAGAGGCAAAACTTGTGGCACTTTCTCACAAACTGAATTGCTCCCAGCAGGTAAGAGATTATTGAAGATCTGACTACAGCCAGAGACTCCTCTGCCACAATGGGAATGCTGATACTGTAGCATAGCCAGGATACAACCAGACTCCACCGAAAAAATCTGCTTCCAGTTCACAGTGCAACTTGTTAGCAAGTCTTTCTCCCCCCTCACATTGCTCTTAACCATGTTTACTTAACTATTAACAGCGTTGCTTAGCACTAATGGTGTCAACTTCCTTGTCAGTGCTGCCAACAGTGTAATTTCCTGTGTTCCGAGCAATGGCAGTTCTGTAACCCTCCCTTTGACTCCAGATACACAATCCTGCATTTATATTTATGGATATTATTCTGTTTTATAGCCTTCAAGCATGTTCTTTTAGTTTCCTGATTCTACTGCAATGCTTTCCTCATACCCTAGTAGTGTTTTAATTGTATTTTTTCACCATATCAAATTACTTCTTGTATTTCCTTCCTCTTCCCTTTTTCACAGGCTGACTGGATGCACAGTAGGCAGCATGACTGACTGGGCTGGCAGTCAATCAGGAAACCAGCTCCCAGTGGAAAAATGGCCAGACTCTATTTCCCTTGGGCTGCCCTCAAACTCCTTTGCCTTGTTGGTGCAGAGATCTGCTGCTTTCTGTAGTTGATGAAGCTCAAAACTGTACACTAAAGCAGCACAGAATCTGAAAAATATAAGAGCTAAAACTTAAGGCATCACAGTCAGAAAGAGCACAGCTGTATTTACAGCACGTACAGAATGGGGAGTTTCACTAGTCCACAGTAAAGCTGTTAGGAGTTCTTACAGTGGGTAGTATCTGATCTAAACTGCTTAACAAAAAGCAGTTTAGCTCAGATAATAACATACAACAAAAATCATATCCAACAACAACCTCACCCTCCCTAACCCCTTAAAACCTAGCTATTGCTTAATTATCTTCACTCCTTCTATGACTTCATTTTGTTCACAGAAACCAAATCATTCCAACAAAAGATGCAGTGATGTGGAAAAGCTTCCAGCTTCAGAACCCATCCTTTTACAGGTGTGTTAGAAGTGGGGGGAGGCAACGTATTGACATGTTGTTTTTGTGGATTTATTACTGTTCCAGAAAGGCTGGATCATTAACAACTAATCCTTGCTTTTAATTACTCCCAGCATTACCCTCTCTATCGGAAAAGTGATGCTGAATGCACTGGAGAAGATTCTGCTCCTCCAGAGGAGAAAAACATCCCCTTTAAAGAAAAGTATGATGTACTGTCTCAAGAGGCATCACAAAAGGTTTGATTTCTTGGGAACTTGAGTGGCAGTGGGTGGGTGAGAGGGGGACATGACTGTAGATATAAATAGATTAAAAAATTGTGGTAAGGCTGTTGGCTGAGATAAACAGAGCACAGCTGCTCCTGTCTAATGAGGCCTGGGAGAGGCTGCTTGTTAGAGCTGCTCCCCTGAGGATCCTCACCACCATGGCCTTGGTCCTGCCAGGATTCCCAGGGACAGCTCCTAAGTCTTGGCACTCTTAAATCTGCTGTGCTGCCATTACCTCCACTTCAGCATTCTGTATTTTCTGTACTGTGTAAATTATTGACACACCTGTCAATAACGTGGATGAAGCCACAGTTTTCCAATACTTTGCAAGCATAATTTCTGTTGAATTAGTAACAAGAAAATTTAAAATATTCCCTTAAAACTCAATGGTCATTGTTTCTTTCCTTCTGCATAAATGTCTTTACTTAAAGCTTGTTGAGATTCTTCCTTAGATAAGAAAATTTTTTACTAAACCCAAAGTTTTTCTCTTTGTGATATCCACAGCATGCTGTTGCCTTTGTTCTGATCTGTATGAAAAAAAAAGCCCAGTACTTGGGATCAGGCCTAAATGGGTATGACTGATATTGCAATACCAACAGATTTCTTACTGGAAAACAGAAGTTTACAGGAAACACTTTGTAAACACATAAGAATTGCCATATGTTCAAAGGAAAAAAAAAAAAGAGGTTTTTAAGTTCAATTTCTTTTTAGCTGTGACTAATTTTTGTGCTTTACTATTTTGCGTTCCAGCTGCTATGGTGGTTTCAGCCCCGTCTGATTCTCAGTGGGCACACTCATAGTGCTTGTGAAGTGCTGCACGCAGGGAAAATTCCAGAAATCAGTGTCCCATCATTCAGTTGGAGGAATAGAAACAATCCTAGTTTCATCATGGTAAGTTTTAATTTTTTTTTTATTTTTGTCAGATAACTTTCATAGATAAATCAACATGGCAGTCAGCTATTATTTTTAAAAACTGATTCTACCTGTAAAAACGAAAAATAATAAAAAAAAACTGCCTACCCACCCAACCCACTCAGTACACTGCATCCACTTTATAAAGTACATCTGTGGGAGCCACATGTTCTGTGTGGTACAAAGCAATGCTGCTAAAGACCTAATTAGTATCTGGGTACATTTTCTTAGAAAGAGAGTGCACTGTAAACTATTGACTTGTAAAAATAATCAGTATTGTGCACTGAACAGCAGAAAGACCAGTTTGGCTTGGCTGATTTACCAGCTGTGAAAACAAGACTGTATCCACCTCAGACCCTTTTGCACGGTGATCACGGTTTTCAAACGTGTGCGTTAATGCAGTGAAAGTGTTTGTGACGTGCCCACAGTCTGCCTCCTCGTTGCCAGTTCACATACAGTGTGTTGGTTCTGCTTGTGCAGGCAGTTCCAGTGCTCAGTATATCCTTAGAGGTAAATCAATTAGTTCCCCAGTTCAAAAATAAAACAGAACTCTTAGAAACTTGGAGTAAGAAGCAAAACCTACAATCTGTTCATAGAGTAGTCTGTGACTTGGAGGGGGAAATCTTTTATGTATGTTTTACTGCTGTTGAGTTTAGGCTGCTTAATACACAGATAACCCCATATGTTTAAATTCATTTTATGCAACTGTTAATATTTGATGTTGAAAGTAGTTCTGTTTATTTCATAGTCCTGAGAGTAGCTGCCTTCAAACTGCACACGCACTCTGCACACGCCAGACAGCACATCTTCACTGCAAAACAAGAGGTTGGCTAATTAAAGTGGCATCCTCTTCACTACTGTTTGAACTCCTCAGCCTCGATCTGCTGTAAACTGTAATTTAAACTGCAAAGTCAAGCCAAAACCCAACAAAGTTCTTTGTTGCTGAAGTTCATATTCCTAATTTGGATTAGCCAACGTGTGTTTTTGCAGCATGTACTGGGTAAGGAGGAGGGCTTGGGGAAGGAAGGGGCACATTCACAAAACCTAACTTCAGCCTGGAAAGGCTCCTTCCTGGTGGATTTGCAGCAGCTAAAGTTAGGCTTCTCTTGAAGGCAAATCAGATGAGGAGCCCAGCTCTTTGTTTATGCTAGATGGGAAGATTGGCCTCTGGGCTAATGTTGGCCTGGTGAATATTCCAGTCAGTGCCCAGCACCACAAGGTATGGACTCTTCAGCCCCCTGGAGAAGGCACTGGTACTAGAAAACTGGCCCCAACCCTTGCCACCCAACACAGGGATTTAGAAATTGGAGATCTGACAGCTGTGGTGTTCACTCCTGATTCAGAACCCACTGTAACACAGCAAAGTGACAGTCTTCATTTCTTTTCCAGGGCAGCATAACACCAACTGACTTCTCCCTCCAAAAATGCTTCCTTCCATTTGAGAGCAGAGTCTTCACTATCTACTGTGCAGCAGGTGCTCTGCTTGTGATCCTGGTACTAGCTCATGTTCAGCTTCTCACTCCACCGTTTTATTTTGCTCAGCGTTTAATCAGTAAGCATAAAGCAGTATGAAGAGCCAGACATCTGCATTCAGTCACTGAAATACCAAAGCTGAGAACAGTCAAACATCAGACTATATTCATGCCAGCAAATGACCTAATTTGATTGCTAGTCTGAAGGCAGGTTGCATTTACACATACCATAGAAGTCCTATACAGCTGATATGACTACTACAGGATAAATAATTAACTGAAATGAACGTTTCATGCTGTACAAAAATACTGTATTCGACAATCAAATGAGTCCTTTTCCTGCTATAATTTTTGTATCAAATATGTATATTAAAAGTGTAACTGTACATTATGTAAATCCTATAGCCTCATCACTTGTCTGCACTTGTGTCTTACCCTGGTGGAGGCTGAATCTTGCAAACTGGAAATGTTTCTCTGTTTTATTGCTGCATGGCCCTTCAAATGTCATAGTTGTGTTTGTTAGGGTCAGGCAGAATCTGGATGCATCAGCACTGAGATATGTGGATTTCCATAACCTTTTTATAGTGTTGTGTGTAAGGGACTGTGGTTTGGGACAAGAAATCTTCTGGTTCCTGACACAGTAAATTGTTAGCTGACTATAATTTGCAGTTCTCCATCTACCAGACAACACAGGGAAGAAGCTCAAGGATCCAGTTTGCTGATACACACTTGAAAACTGCTTAAAAAAAAAAAGGTAGGGTGACACCTCAAGCTGCTGCTTTCAAAAAGATGTGCTATGATGAGCTTAAAAAAAGAGGGCCCTATTGCATCCCAGAGATCTGTGGTGAGGGGCCCTCCAGTTGCTGATCTCCTGCAAGAAGGAAGGTCAAATACAGCTGCAGTAACATTATCCTATGCCTCAGCCCTCAGTCTACAGCCAGGGATAGGAATGCACCTTATTTTACATTCCACAAGTTCGGTTGACTTTAGTGTAGTGTCACATTTTGAACTGCACTAGCTCCTCTGTGGGGAAGCAGAGGCCACCAGCTGTGCCACAAAGATAAAATCTGAACTCAGCGTCTCCAGTGTGTGGGGGAAGGTGGGACAAGCCTACTGCTGCTCCCCACCCACCCCAGAAAAAACAGAAGGACTACTTCACACCAGGACCAGTTTTCCTGCTGATGGTCCTGCAGAGGCTGGGAGCTCTAACCTGAACTCCTGGGGCTAGTTAAAAAAAACCTACTATCTTTTGTTATTCATTCTATTACTTTCTTTGGCATGAGAAATAAGAGAATTCTGTTTACTGTTAGCTTATTCCACCCAGCCTTTCACTTTTTAGGAAATATGACTAAATTAAACATAAAAATTTCTGGGAAGAGAAAATGGTCATATTAGAGTATCTAAAATGGGATTGTTTTATATTCAACTGGAAACAAGTTCTCAATTGGACTGTAGTCTGATTTTAAAAAGATGACAGATTGGGGTTTATAACTAATAACAAGACAGTAAAAAGTTAATAAAACCTGCTGATTTATATGCCAGTGTGCGGACTGTGTTAGCTCTTCATCTCTCCCTAAATTTAAAATGAAGTGGGGGGAATGGTCCCAAGTGTGGTAAAACATTCTATAAAGTAATGTAGTCTAACACTTCTCTAGGTTTCTGTTATTGCAACTGTAATTTTAGACATTTGTACAGGTTATCTTGGACACAGGAAAAGTATATAGTCACAGACATAAAACACCTATGTATAAAATATAAAGCAGTGTTATAGTTACTAAAAAGGACATGCCTTATTGCTACAGCAATTCTTGCTTTTTATATATTGTACTGTACCACAACTTGTTTTGAGAATGTCATTTGCATAAATTATTCAAGTTTGAGAAATATTCACACATTTTGATTCTACAATATTTAAAATAAAATAATTTTCTAATGTGTCTCTTTATTAAAAGAGAAATAAAAATGTCATCTTGTAATTCTCTTAGGCCAGACACAAGGGTTTATACACCTTTTTTTTTTTTTATCTTCTTTCTCGCTATTTACTTGCACAATGAAAGCCGCTGTTGGTACAAAGATTGAAGAGCTCTATAGAATGGTGCTTTACACATTCACAATCGGTCTGTGCAATTGTGAAGTTCTATGAATGACCAAAGAATTACCAAACATATTTTCTAAATATAAAGGACAAAAAAAAAAAAAAAAAAAAAAAAAAAAAAAAAAAAGAAGAAGAAGAAAGAAAAAGAAAAAAAATCCTTGTTTCCCATTAAAACAACACCAGGTTGCAATTTGGACACTTGAATGAATTCCAATGTTTTAAAGCTGAGACTTCAAAAGAGAAAGGCATGTTTGCTGCAACATCCGGTGACTGTAATACCTTACTTGGAAAGGTAAGTGGTTAATTTGCATAATTTATAATTTTTATACTAAAGAGCATTTTTATATAAACCAGAAAAAAACCCCTAAACTCTACAGATAAAGTTCTTACCTCCAGTCACTGCTGCAGGTAAGGTTGACATCAAGCTGTACAGCGCAATCAAAAACATACTTACATCTTAGCTCATTTTACAGGTACAGCCATAATCAAGGCACAAAGATCTTCTACAAGTATTTTTCTTCAATAAAGTTGTACAAAATAATATTACATTTTACAGTCTGTACAATATAATAAACCAGCAGTAAAACAAAAAAATATATATAGGGAGAGGACTGTTGTCCAAGAATGATCGGAACTAAAAGGATCATTTGTGGACAGCACAAATAACATAAGTGAGGGTGGTAAATTTTCTGCCTAGATGCAACAGGCTGAAAAGTAGCTGTAATTCGAATGCCTGAGGTGTGCAGAGACACTTAGCTCCAAAACCCCAGAAAAATTGCTTTGTCTTCACCGTTCCTCTCATTATCTACTCTACTTCCTGTGCCAGTAACGGCTTAAAAGAGGAGGTCACTTTATCAGTTGACCTGCAACTCAGAAATGCTAAAAACTGTGACAGAGTAATAAATATTGTGGTGCTGCTACATTGTGTGTCTACTTCCTCAACAGTATTTAATAACCTGATACAAAGTGCATTAATCTTTTTTTCACCCATCAAGTACTCTTCAATGTCATGTTAAAAAGGAAACCCACACAGAGGGATAGGTATGACTTCAGTGTCATCCAGATGACATACCGGTCTGAACTGAGGTTAACCCACTGGAAAAAATTTAGCAGGTCACGTTCAGTTTTAAAAAAAACAAAAACCTAAGGGAACAGAGGTAGCCAAAGGGCTTAGTGGAATGACGAAGAAGTGGCATGTCAAAATAAAGCACAAAAATAGTCCCAAAAAGCATGAAGGGAAAAATAACCCAAACTTGCTTCAAATCAGCTTTAAGGTTAAACAATTAAAAGTAAACAAAGTGAAGAGACTGACATTTCTATAGTATATTCTTCCACCCTGTGTGGGGTAGTATCAAGAGAAAGAGTAAGGAGCAAAGAATTTAAAACCACAGGTTCCACGGTGATCCCCTCACAAGAGTTCGTACTGGCGGAGGTGCATCCTCTGGATGATGTCTCGGCAGTCGTTGAACACTCTGCGGATGTTTTCTGTGTCCACTGCGCACGTGAAGTGTGGGTAGCAGTAATGCCGGCCGTCTCCGCTCGCTGTACTTATCCTCTGTGGAAACAGGGAGGCAAAAAACAAAAGCATCAGGTGCCATGCCATGAGAAATTTCATATCTCAGCAGTCTACGGACTTGGGGGAACCAAGAACCCTGGGAAATCTGCATATAGATCACTAAACAAAGTAAACAGAAAGAAGGGAGGGCTGTGGCCTGGTCAGTGTGAATGACAAATCTGAAATGAAGATTACAAAACATTATGGATACTGGGGTCAGGCAGGAGTCCTTTGTGGGAGCCACGGATGCCATCCTTAGCTGCACAGGCTGTCGCCATTTGTGCATCACTGTGCAGCCAAACCTGTGCTGCTGACAGCTGTGCAGCCTGCCATGCAGCTGCCCCAGGAATTGTTTTCTTTTTTTGGTGCCATCATGTGGCAAATTCTTGAACTCTTGTTTTAAATCAGCAACACAAAACCAAAACCCTCCCCGTTGTGGAGCCAGCAGCGGCAGAGAACAGCATTCTACTGCTTCTGCTTCTTGTGCGCGGGCCTCTGAACTTACTTTCACTTAGAGCATCTATTAAGCCAGCTGAAGGATTGGTATCATCATTGAGCTCAGAATTTGGTGAAATTATCACCAGAGTGGCTGGGTTCACTTAGAGTAGTAAAACATGCAAAAATCTAGTAAAATCAGACCATGCAGAATTACATTTTCTCAAGGTTACTGCACAACTTTTTAGGTTCTAACTTAAAGCTCTAGCATCACTTTGCCCATGGTTATCTTCTTAAAATTCCCCAAAATCTTAAAACACATACTAAAAAAAATCCTAATTTTTATTCTGTATTACTATAGGACTGACAAATATAAATCCATTCTAGATCATTATCTTACAGAATATAAACAAAATATCAGGAAAGCAGAAGGTCAGTTTTTAGGATAATGATTTTTATAACTATTTGCTAAATTTTATTATAAATTACTCTAGCTAAACAACAAAAGACAGTGTTCCATCTCACTCTAGCTACACCATATATTTTTAACACAGGATTTATTTTACATGTAGGTTTGACCTTTCAAATACCTGAAGCTACAGATATGCAAAACCATAGCCAGTTAGAAGCCATAATTTACATAATTAGATCAACAAGCAATTGCAGACTTTTCCAGGTAATTTAGGTAGTATTACACATTCAACACTGATTACACAGGGGTGTTCATATACAGTCTAAGAATTATTTTCTTACCATGCTACTTTCAATACCTAGTTTGAGGCTTAACTTCATGAAAACTACTAAGAACTGTCTGCTTGTGTTTATCATGCACTGATTTCACTCATGTCTATGGCAATAAGCTGTCCACAGTGTCCTGGTTACATACACAGCATGCCAAAGGATGTATTTTCAAAATACTAGGGGGCTGTCTGTTTTTGTCACCTGACAGCTCTTGCAGTCCTCTCATTTGAAGATAAATGCAGAATTGTCACCCCTACTCGACACTCACTTTGAATTAGTAGTGTGTTACTCAGCACCAGTTCACAGGGGGAAAAAAAATCCCCTGGGACACTGATGAAAGAATATTTGCTTTCCAGGCAGGAATATTTAATTCTGGCATCCCCACACTGCAGGGGTCAGGATGACATACAAATTCAAGGAATCCTGGTCTATGTGTTTGAACAGCAGCTCCTTCACCTCCCAGATTCAGGTTTTGTAAAAACCATCAGGACAGGAACCAGAGGGGCCATGCCACTGTTCTAACAGGGGTGTATTCACACTGGGGATGTATCCAAACAAAATACCAGCAGCTGGAGAGCTCTGTGTGCAGAACACCAAAACAGGGCTGGGGAGCAGCCTCACCCAGGAGCACACACGCACACTGCCTCCAGGAAGAGTCTGGGAGAAGAAAGGATGTGCCTGAGTTGAAGAACAGAGGATTTCCCACAAGATACAGTTCCAGGACCGGCAGATGCCCTTGCCAGCCTAGCCCTGAGGTGCAGGCACTGGCTGGGCTTGGGCCCAGCCATCCCTCCCACGCTGCTCCCTGACTGAAATCCGAGGGATCTCAGCCCTGCTGCCCAACCCCGAGGGGCCACAGTCCTCACACCAGCCCTGAAACCATGAGCTGACATCTTTTGTCTTTCTAATCTATCCTGTGTAGCAACAGTTATTGGAAATGTGGTCAATTTCAACCTCCTCCTAAAATTCCTCAAATTACAGGCTTTAAATTTGCCACTACCATTCCTACAGCCAGGCAGTTTTAAAGGGTGCAGCACCATGGTGATGATTGTCATGCACATCCATCGTTTATGCACACCCACTACCATGATAAAAATCACAATAAAGCATATTAAACACAGGCTTCTCTGAACCATGCCTGAAAATTTAACAGAGTGGGGCATGGAAAAAGTCATAAATCAAGGAACTTGGGAAAGAATAAAGCAAAGCCAAGGCAGACACAGGTAGAAAATACAGCCCTTTTCGTCCTGGCAGCTGGCTAAGGCCATCAGATCCCTGCCAGTCTGTATTTCTCCTGTGCCCCTTACTCCCTCTCTGAAACCTCTTGTGCTGCCCCCAGCACAAGAGCTCCCATTGCCCCAGCACCCACAGGGGTTTCCTGTGTGGCTGCAGTGCCTGTGCCTCCTCCCCTCCCCACTTCATAGCTGGCCTCCTTCTGCAATGCCAGTGAGTCATGGCAGGTAAGGACCTCGCCCTCAATGAGTGTTCTTAAATCATGAAAGCAGATAAAGGTGGGGAGTTTCACCCTAATTTCCCTGTAACTCATCCCTCAGAACAACTCTCCTTCCAGACTGGATATCATCACCTGCCTCACAGGATTCCAGCATTACCACAGGAGAGATTTGCCTTGAAGTGAGTTTTTTCAGTAATTCTTACGTTAACACAGCACAATCTGACACTTTTCCTCAGGATCTGGAAGGCTAAGGCAGCAACTGGAAATCCCCAAAGTGTGAATACAGTAAATTGCTTCTTTCTTGGTGCGTCAGCAGCTGTAAATCCTAACAATGCTCGTAAATGCAAAATGACTTTAAAATTCTTAATTCTAACGACTCAATTTGTTATCTCACACACACACATACAGCTTCTACCAGTAGGGCATGACAGATGAGCTTTGGTTCTGGTCTCTGATACTGCTCTGCACTGTGGGAACAACTCAGAGTGAGTGAAGCCACAAGTGATCCTGGATTACACTCTCTGACAGCAGGGCTGGGCTGTGATTGTGTGCCTGACAAAAGCTTTCACCTTAAAACGTAAACACCTCTTCACTCCAGCTATAGAGGAAACCTTAATTGCAAGAAAAATGTGACTAGACAAGGCAACTTTATTAGGATGCTTCAGTAGGGCCATGACACCAGTGCAAAGGTGAGGTAAACCTCCTAACTGGCATACTAGAAATCTTATTTAAGCATAAAATCATAAAATCTGCCTCTTTTTTTTTTTTTTTAAATTCCTGCTGTCAGCTGATCACTGCCAAACTCCTTGAAGGAATGCAGGATAAAAGTAAGAAAGCCTATTTGTTTATGCATGGACTGTATGTGACCATTCTAAGCACTAGCACTTACTGTGTGACAATTAGCATGGCAAGTGACTTTATACAAAATGGGCATAAAAAAGTGCAGCACTGAGGAAGGTTCTGCAAGATGGGCAGCTGAAAAGAACTAGGGAATTGCCAGACGTTGTCCTCTCCTTCTAGCTTTCTGCAAAACCCCATCAGTTTTCCCTAAATAAACTGTGCCATCTGTCAGTATTTCCTATGATAGAATCACACATAAGATGAAAATTACTCACTAAAAACTCATCCCGGATGAAGAACTTGGCTCTTGTGACTTTGGGGTCTTCTCCTGCCTCTGGTACTGCTGTTCAATTAAAAATAAATGACATCAGAAACACGAAAACCAAACAATCATCTATTTGTAACGAAAGATTTAGGAAGTAGCCCTTCAGTAGAGAAACTGAAATGTTAAATACTAGAGGAGATTCCCAGTAGGTAATTGAAAAATGAATAGTACAGTAAAACCTGACTGTGTGTACAACATATTTTAGGAACCTGAAAATTGCTGAAATCATTGCAACAATGTCATTGGTCATATCACAAAAAGGCTTACTCACATCCACAAGCCTGTTCATATAGATATAAAAGAAGTGGGAGTTAGGGTTTAGCTTTTATCAGAAAATATGACTAGAAAAAGCAGCTGAGCTGTTCAGTTTCTGCAGCAGAACAGTGTCTCCCGAAAAGATCTTCTGCAGGCAGGAATGTGAGTTTAAAAATGGTTAGTCCAAGATTTTCCACTTGGAAAAAATGACAGCATTGAAAGACCTTTTGATATATATGTATATATGAAAGTATTTTAATTCCAGGCCCCAATTCAGCAGAATACTTCAGATATTGCCCATCAAGGGGTCTTGGATTAAATTCTTACTGAGCAGAAGACTTGTTGCTCAATATTAACTGTTTGTCAGCAGATGAAGTTGTCACTATCTAGGCCATGCAATGACTGTATTTACAGTCAGTAACAATGCAGTGAAGAGATAACCTATTTATTTCCTTTCAGTGTTATCTCTCATCTAGGATACCAAAATCAGATGCTTATAAACATAACATTGTAAAGGCCAGAATTTATCAGAATATGGAAATGTATTTTTCATCCATAGTGCTGAGAGTAAAAATAGAGCAGCAGCACAATCAACAGCATGTTGGAATTCAATGCTGCTGCCCTTAAATAATGTCAGCTGAAATTGAAGAATAAGTGAACAACTACAGGTTAAAAATAGAGAGCTGTTTCATGTGGGAATATTCTGGATCACTCTAGATACACACTGTGAAAACCCTCTGAGAAATAACAAAAGCTACTTCTTCCTGACAATTGGCTTATTATAAAAAAATGCTGAAAATGCACCCAAACTCTGTCTATGTGGTGCACATTTGAGAAGGGGAAATTTGGGTGATGGAGACAAGATTTCTTCTGAAAACCCTTACCATTACAAAACAGATGCCAGATCAACTCAGATTTTAGGACAGTTCACACTCATGAAGTTCCAGACCTCAATGAAGGCTGAAAATAGATAATCACCATCTTCACCTCTGTAACCAAGGCTGTCGGTGGTGGCTGGTGGAGAATGAAAGCCTTTTCCAACAGGTGGCTGCAAGCACCATGCCAGGGACATCACTCGGGTAAGGCAGAGGTGAGTGGTCAGAAAGTAAAAGTTTTACCCCTTTTGCTAGACAGACCTGAGACCTTTGGGGAGCTCTCTGCCTGGCACACACTTGGTGTAATAGCAGAGTTTACCTCGGCAATATGTTACTGGGGCGCAGGAACCATTGCACTTCTTGAAGATAAGAAACTATCACTCCATCAGCACAGCTCTATTCCTCTCTACTGATGTGGTTTTCCTCCATTAAAGTTCCCTTACTGGTCTGCTGGGGCTTCCCATCAGTATTTCAAAAACTGAAATTTACAGTATTGGAGGATGCAGTGGCTGCAAAGTAAGTCTCATGAATCCCCAACAGTGTTCAGCACTGTGGGAGGCTCAGGCAGAAGCATCTGGGAAGGGGGGAGATGTGTGGCTGCTTTGCTGTCCTGGGACTGGTGGTTCCCCCCCGAAAGGGAAAGGCAGGTGCTGTGGAGCCAGAACCCCTTCAGACCCTACTCACACTGGGAGCTACATGCTGCTGGCATGCTCCTTACCTGACCAGCAGCTCATGCCAAGGAACAGTGTGTGCTTGTGAGTGTGAGAGACAGACAGAGAGACAGGGAGAGGAGCTGGGCCATGCCAGCAGGTCCAATCCCAGCATGGGGAGAAACCTTACCATCCTCAGGTACAGTATAATGCGCATATTCAGGAAAGTAATCTTCAATTTTTGATTTCCCTGCCAAGACTTTTTCAGCCAGCATGTCCTGTTTATTCAAGAATAAAATGATAGAAATGGTCCGTAACCACCTGTCAAAAACAAACCAGATGTTTGTGTTATCTCTGACATGTTAATCAAGAAAAATGTATCACATAGATAGGAAATTTACTGGCCATTCCTGTGTGGACAGAGTGTGAAATAGTGTAGAACATGCTTCAATAAAAAAAAAAAGATGACCTAAATGATTGTTTTGACTGGTCTGCACCTGTGCTGGTGGGTATATTTCTAAGGTCAGTAAATACATTTATAAAAACTGTAGAGGACATTGCTGAAGGAGGCAGTTTTCAAAATTTTTTTCTAAATTCTCTTTTAGATATCAAATTGGAAAACTGGTGACATTTTCTAGAAGCGCCACAGTTTATGACCAGACCTGCTTTATTTGGTTGTGATAAACAAAAACAAAAAAAAAAAAAGGGCTAGAAAGCTCCCTTCCCTCAGACTGCTCTAAGCTACTGCTCATCCACACAGATATCCCATCTTTTACGGTGGCCTGTATGACACCTGACGAATGGAAAGAAAATAATGTCTCTTTTCTTCCCCAATTAATCCATCACTGTGACAATGTGCCTTGGGATGTGCAGTTAACATTCCTCCTTCACTCTACCTTCAATCACTTCTCAGTGCAGAGCATCCTCACAGGTATGTGCTGAAAACTTCATCACCTTATTTTGCACATTGTTTTTACTTGTTCCATACCAGCAGCCCATTTGGGTTGCTATTTGGTTATGTACCTAGATTTACAGGCACTGTGGCAGCATGGCAATTTAATGGCACTTCCAGTTAGGTTAGGGCTGAAGCATCACCCCCCAAGGCAGAGGTACCCTGTGCTCTCAGAGCTGACCCTTACGAGAGCAGCTGCCCGCACAAGGAACAAGCACAGGGAGCTGCTCCTGCTGCTGCTTTGGAGGGGGAGATCAAATGTTCCTTGAGGACCTTGGTCTCAGCCAAGCAGCAGAGTGATGCCAGGAGAGGGTCTCTCCTACCTCCCTTGCAGCAGCCAGCCTGGGGGGGCTTGCCTTTTCCAAGCTGCTCCCATGCCCTGCATCATTTGGAAGGAATGGTGAAACACCTGTCCTGTGCCATGGCCCATGCCAGGGAGCGATGTCACCGTGGGGATACTCTGAGATCTGCCCAACCTGGGTATTTTCTGAATAAACAATGTGAGCCTACAGCAAGGGAAGTCCTATTTTGAAAGGTGAACTGTAAATGAACTGGGGAGGATGGTGGAAAATGAGGTTTGTTTTACCTATTATTCCAGATACTTTTGAAAAGGTCCAGGGATTCCCGTAGTCTGTTTGTGTTATTGTCTTCCCTTATTACCATGTTGTAGCTACTGCAAGCCACAACGAAGATGATAGCTGTGACATCTGGACAGAACACACAAAAGAAATAAGGAAAGAAAGGAGAGAGAATAGAACATCTTTGTTATCCCAGCACATACTCCTCAGGGTAACACTGCCATTACTCACCAATCAGCCAAAAACACCAGAAAAAAGTTATCTGTAACACTGGACTTCTGTGCCAGTGAGGTATTGTGTGTGGGTATGAACACTAAGCTGCTCACACCTCAGAGAATAAGTTTAAAATAAAACACAGAATGTTTTTACTTACCATTAAAGCACTGGATCCATTTTCTTCTCTCATCCCTCTGGCCACCTACATCAAACATGCTGTTAAAAAGCCATAGGATGTTATATCACTTATGTGCACTAGGAAAAATCACACGAAGCATGCACAGCACAAGGGTTCGGTTTAAAAATCTGACAGCCCCAAGGACAGGGGCAGTAAAGTATCACCTGAAGAGGAGAGAGATCTGCTGATGCTGCACTGCATGTCAGAGACAGCTGCACTGCTCCACCTGCCCTGCTCTGCCAGGAGTAGGCTACCGAACCGATAAAATGAGAAATACACTCTTCAAGGACAAGTGTTGGCTTTTCCAGTCCACAGCAGTGCATATGGCATGTAATACTGTACTATAAACAAGTACAGGTTTCAGGATATTTTGAAGAGTGGTGGAGAAAGGGCATCTCTGTATGGAGGAGGACGTGAAGCAGCTCAGCCCCGTCAGCACTGGCACCCTTCTGGGCAAGAACTGGGGAGAGAAGCCAGTCTGCCTGTGGGTGTTTTAGCCACACAGCAAAAAACTTTGAGAAACACAGCGCTCGCAGCCCTCTGGAAGAAGGGAGGATTCCCACTGACTTCTGTGAGCTCTCATCCCCAAAGGTATTTTATGATTTTATACTGCTATACCAATGTACCAGTTTTTACAAGAAGCCACACACAACCCTACTAGAGAGCACTGCGAATATAAGTAACTAATTAAAGCTATTTTTGCAAAGTATGAGGTAATTTTACTAGGACCTCCGGAAAGAGAGCTAAAAAGCCAAATCAAACAACAAAAAACCACCCACTCCCATCCTAAAGGGCTGCTATACCATGCATACATGAACAGAGACATCTGAATGAAGCTATTAAAAATGAGTATGATTATTCATAAATCATTACTAACAGACTTACTGGAAATTTACTTTATCTACTTGAAATCTTGTTTCAAAAATCCCTGATGTCAACACTCTGCATCTTAATAGGTCCTGGAAATGAGAACACAGAAGCTGATTAGTACGGCTTTTTTTCTAACCTAATTTTGTTCTTAAAAGCTTGGAATATTATTTTCCATGAAAAGTCTTAAATGTTTCATTTAATGAAAGTTCAATCAGACCCGTTGGTAAATTGGCATTTTTCTGTACTGACATGGTAAATAAACTTAATAATGATCACTGCATTTGGTTTGGGCACTCAGAAAGCAGGAGAACTTATCTATGTTTTCCTTACTGCCCACTGAGACCTGTTCTTGATGGTTATACACCTTGGTATGTCATGAGGATAATTAATTCTGAAGTTACATAAAACTAAGAAAAATGTTATTCATGTTGTAAAGTCAAGTATTTAAATGTTAGAAAACTCCAGATTTACAGTTGCCCAGGCAACCTTAACTCTGCCCTCTTTTGTACTGAATGAGACAGGAATCCTATCAAAAGAATAGCTTGTGACTGAGTAATTAAAGCTCTGTTACAGAGCACAAGGGAACAGAATTTAGGTTGTGCAGAAATATGGAATTTCTTTCCTGTTTTTTAAACTAGCAATACTTTACAACTTAACCAAATCTCCTTCAATAATTAAAAAATAAAAATTTCCTCAATTCTCAAGGGGAGTAGGCAAAAGCAATTTATGATGCCTCCTTCCTGGATGGAAGGAGGCACAGCTTGCCTTTTTTCCCTACCCTACTGTTGACTGCTTCCAGTAGCCAAGGCAAACCTTGGCTGCTTTGACAGCTGCTTGCACTCAGCTGAAGGCCACTTATTTAACACTTTTAGTTATTTTGTATGTTACTGTCATTTTCTGTCACTTGCTGTCTTTGTTACGGTGCAAAAAAATACCCCAAAAACCAGAAAGCAAGGGAAGAGAAGAAATAGGTGATTTTTATCAGTTAGTTCAGCAAGGCAACTGATACAGTGCAACAGGACAAAAACAAAATAAAAGAGAATCCCCCCTTCAGAGCAAAAGTTTTCCACCTGCCAAATACCAAGGGCCTTTCCTGATCTTTCAAGACATTTCTCCCCAAAGGAAATATCAGGAAGAATTTCCAGGTGATGAAAGACTATTTCAGGTAGAGAAGGGCCGTCCAGGAACAAACAGGAACTAATGTAAATAATGAAAGCAAAAATGAGGCTTTTCTTCACTGACTTCTCTCTCCAGGTGAGAGAAGATGCTAAAACCACCTTGATGCTAAAACCATGAGGTCTAGATGGAGCAAAGCCCAGTGCTAATTCCTTTGGTCTGAAAATGTCTTGAGTGTTTGAATAATTGATCCTATATTGGGTTGACTACAGACACACTTTTGGTTATGGACCTAAATTAAGTCTGAATGAACAGGCTCTTCTCTGCATGCTTCCTTGGGTGATCTCTGGCAAGTCACCTAATTTCTCTGAATTTCACCCGTAACTGCACAGTGAGATGTGACAACTTTGTTTTTGTTTTTTTTTAAGGGTATCCACCTGTTATATGCCTTGCATTGTTAGACTGAATTATCCAGTGCAGGAATTCTCTTCTGCCACCTGTATTTGGAGTTTATGACGTGGCCCACAATCTTGGCTGAGACTGCTAAATGACAGTGGGATAGCAGCACTGAAAAATAACAACTTCAGAATGTTTGCTGAAGAGACAGCAAAGGAAGGCACACAGCCTGAGCTCAGGGAAGGCAGCTGGAGCCAGGCAAAATAGTAAAGCCCCTCCTTACTTCAAGACTGCACCAGTTCAGCCTTAACATGAATATGTTTACCACTAGAGCATTCCATCAAGACGTATCACAGCATCTGGGAAAAAAAGTACTGTCTTGCAAATTAGGCTTGAATAGAAATTCTGCTGCCCTCAGGAGATGGGCACAGCCTGCAAAGAAGGAATCTGCGGGCCTGCAGAGAAGTTTGCAAGGTCTGCTGCTGCCACTGGTGCTCTCCGCTGAATCTGCTCTCTTTACTCACTGCAAGCTTTTGCCTGGGAAGGACCCTTTGGATAGACAAGGGAAGTCTCCCTCTGGGGTCACCTCCACCACTGAAATAAAGCATTGCTTCTCTGTACCAAAGGCTGGTGAGGGAAACCATAACTTTTTACATTCATGCTTTCTGTTCTTTTTTCCATTCACTTTTTTTTTTGTGGGACACAGAATGGGAAACAAGAAGACAAATGCATGTATTACAAGAATCACAGACCTAGATGTTACAACAATAAAAGATAAGTTTGCACCACCAAAATGCCTCTTCTTTAATATCCATTACTTAAACTACTACACCATATTTTGTTATTCTGCCATATGCCCTATTTCAGCTGCAGTAGGGACTAAAATAAATTACACGGAAAATCCAGATGAACGTCAGTCTTAGTTCAGACCCTACCACATTATTTTTACTAACCTGATCTGTGGGTGTGTAGTCATCCATGCTGACGCTGTCAATTCTTTCTAAAAAGCTAGAAAAAAAAATAAACGCACACTTAGATATGTACAATACTGTCTAGTAAAATACACTTCACTACCTTTTCCAGTTTACAGTCCTGCTGAGAAGTGAAACACAACATGAATGGTAAAGTTAGGAGCCTGATTATTTCCATATATTGCTCAAGGTTACATTTTATAACAAACACTTTACCCAGATCTTTTTTCAACACAGCACTTTTAAAGTTACCATTATGCAGTACTCACAAGTGGTTCAAAATGCAGTTGAAATGCTACAATTTTATGAGGTCCACTAAAAAATACTACAACTAACCACAGATCATAACATCATATGGTTGTTAAGACTTAAAAAAGATTTTGGGATTTTATGTAGAAAATGAGGCAAAGGGGTGCCTTTATTTAGTATAATGCTAATCAAGTATAATGTTATGTTAATTATGGTCTCAGTTATGCTAGCAGAAATGCTTGTTGGTACATACAAAAAGCTTTGGACTGACTTGCTGCCCTCCAACACTGCAACTAAAGCACAAAAAGTGGAGGTTAATGAATCTGATTCTTTATGTCACCAAAACTCAGTGACATGCACGGAGTAAAAGAAAGACTTACAGCTGCAGGGAAGGGCAAGAGAAAAGAGAACCAGAAAATCAGAGGGGAACTACATTCTATGATTATTTAAAAAATTTTTCAAGCTTTAATTCTTTCCTAATATGTGTTAGAATGGCAGCACTTATGGATATAAAAATGTCATTTTATATTTATTGCTAAAGAGGCAGGTTCTCCTCCCTCACTTCCACCCATTTCTTAAATCTCCTGTGAGCCCAGCTGGCTCCTTTCTCCCAGACTGACTGTAAAACTTAGAAGCCTTCTTGAATTTCTATATTGTTATTTGGTATTTGGCAGTGAATATCCCATTGGCTGACACATCCCACTATAATATTATCAAGACTTTTTTATCAAAAGGCAAGTTTTCCCCAATTTTACTTGAGTGTGCACTTGGAATAAATGTCCCACTTAACTGCAGTGGGAAAGAAAGGAAAAAACAGTGAACTCTTGACTTAAAATGTAACTCACTGTTAACACAGGGGTCAGACACACTGGCCAGTTGAAAAAATAGCCCCTAAAAGCTGTTTGTAACTCTCATAGCAGTTTCCCATGGATATGAACCGAAAGGAAAATACACTGCATATATATTTAATTAATACATTTTTCCTTTTCAAACCTCCACTGTTATAGCAGGGAAACAAAACAAAATGCAGTATCTACAATTAGAATATCCAGCTTTTCTTTCTGGATGATCAAGGTGTGATAGATAAGCACAGGGTTTAAAAAAAAAATCACTGTTTAGCACAACCCAACAGGTGCCTGTTAGCAAAACTATATGGAAGAACCTCTGAAGAAAAAGCATCATTTCACAAATCCTCCTTCCTTGCCAAAAGCCCTATAAATTTATATAAGGATATAAAAGTACATTTTTATAGTCAGCTGCAGTCACCATGGGAAATCAGTTTTATTCAGGTTGAACCTTTTGGTCAGATGATTGTCATCACCTTGACTGAGCAAAGTTTAACTTCAGTTATCCCACAGTTCATGCAGACGCCGGAGCAGAGCGATGCATTTTTAAGCAGCACACCTGTCACTGGGAGAACTCTTGCCTCATGCTTGCAGCACAGAACATGAAAAAAAGAAGGCAAAAAAGCCCAAAGCAAAAATGCCTCCAGGCTGAAATTTCCCGATTAGAGTAATTTTCCTTAGCATGGATGTTCTTCTTTGTTCCAAAGTACAGACTATGTCTGACACAGAAAGGGATCTGCTTAAGAGTGTGGACTGAAGTCAGTGTTAGTGCACAAATACAACTCCATCACAAACCTTGCAAGACAGTGTGAAATGGCTTTTATTTTCAGAAACATATCTTGTGAAGTTGGTGTATAAATCAGAGACAATACCTCTTGTCTCCACAGTACCAGGACCATTTTGGCAGAACTTATCCAAAATGGATCAACACAGTATTAAGTGCAAACTCACCCCTTCCTCACCTATACAGCAAGTACTTAAGGAAGGTTTTTGGTTGTTAGCACTTGCACATTTCCAACAGGCAAATCATGGTAAGGAACAGAGGAACGAGGAGTAATGCAGTTACACTACACACAACAGGCTGGGAAAGAGGCAAGTCTCCTAATTAGATGTCCTACCTATGAGCTGAAGTCATCTTCCACTTCCTCCCAGTAGAAAGACCAGTTTTGAATACCCTGAACTGCCATCACAGCTAAGACAGAGCCAGCTCTGACAAATATCATGTGTTCAAAAAATATCATTTGACACAGCAGCTGTACCATTTTATGCTTGTAAGGTTGCTGTCTGCATGTAAGCCATATTAAAATAAATGCAATGATTTACAAGGTTTTACTTGCCACCTTGCTATAACAAGCTGGAACAGTATCACTAGCATTCAATAAATCCACATGCAGCTACCATTAGGATTGGGATAAATTTTGTAGCTTTATAGGAAATTAACCTTTTCAGTGTGTGATGGACAGGTTTCCTAAGATTTCTTCTGCAACGACATTGTTAAGTGTGCAATGAGATTTCTTAGACAGAGAAACACAGACAGCTACACTCTTAGCTTTTCAAAAGAAAAATCAGTTCTTGAATATCCTTCATATGAACTCCTTACTTGGCTAATTAGCACAGAATCAGATCTAGTCCTGACAGGCAAATGTGCATACTGGGTACAAGAAATGGATTCCAGATGAGATAAGGAGTCAGTACTGCCTCATTTCCTAACACACTAACTTCATTCTCATTACCGTATTAAAAAGGGAAAGCTGAAATTACTTTTCTAAACTGATTTCTAGAGAATGTTAACTTCACCTAACCCTAATTGTCTTGAATAATTATGTTCTGACAAAATATAGATTATTTTATACATATATATATATATACACACGCACATATCAGCAAATTTTGAATTGACATGACTGAAATTTCCATTTAAAGAACCTAAAGTACAAAAAGATCTGCTGTCTCAGTTCAAAGAATCAGTGCAAGGAAAACATAATAACAGAAGAATGAACAAAAATGGACATAAAGTATTACTTACTCTCTTTTTAGATACTTTTTTTTTCAGCTCAGGGATGTAACTATTTTCACAGAATCACGCCTTTTTACAATACTGACAGGTCTTCTATTTATCTAGCTTCTATAGAAACCCATACTCAGGATTTATGTTAATTCTAAAGTGACTGTTTTGCATGCATGTGCAATGAGCTTCAAATTCACACATTCAATTCAACAGTGAATAAAACAATAACATGATGCAATATTTACATTTATATTTCACAACTGTGGTTTTACTTATAAAGGATTCAGTCAGATACTTAGTATGACATTTATGTTCTTTTTAATTTTACATAGGGTGTTTTAAATTTTCTTACATGGAATAGCTGAAACTACCCTTTTCTACAGAAAATAATTAGGCAAGTTATTGAAAGGAAGGTCTCTGGCTCTGGTTGGAAATGCAGTGGTTTGGTTTAGCAACAAATTAAAGCAAACTAAAATGGACCAATAAAGTTAAAAAATAATGAGCTACTGACATTATTATATCTATTATTAAGCTGATCTGTAGTTTTATAAATATCTTCAGTGAGTTTCCTAGGAAACTCAGCTGACACTTAGTTTGACAAGCAATCTCTAAATTTTGTATTATGCAAGCTGTGAACACAAAAGTACAGGTTTTAGATGTGCCTGCCAGTGCATGTGGGAACTATCAATAAGCATTATTCTCTTTAAAAACCATGGCAATTTGAGAAGCAGTAGCAGCTATATAAGAATTTCTAGAAAAGGGATTCATAAATGCACAAATAAAGAGGAGGTAATCGTACATGAAAATTCTTTTCTCACTAAATAAATCACTACACGGCTCTGTGTAGATATTCTGACTCCACAAATAAAATGACAATTAAAAGAAAAATCGTGTCTTGAGCATAATATGATTGACAGAAAACCCATGCTATATTTGTGAAAGCGTACTTTGACATCCAAAGAATTGGAAAGATGAAGTGCTAAATTACAGATCAATACAACAAACTAGGTATTTTAATAACTCTTGATCTACATCAGGCATTTTTATGCTCTCACCCGAACATTTCAATGGCCTTACATCAAAAAATTCCAAGGGAAAACAAGAAATCAAACCCATTCAAAATGCTTGTCTCTTTAAAAGGAAAAGGTATTGTGGCAAATCTTTAAGGTTTTAAGTTCTCAGAATGAAGAATCTCAAAACTACCTTCAGGTAAGCTGTGGGGTCAGCAAACCTTTACAATTCAGATGGACCATTAAGATCTTTGCAAACATCTCAGCCAGACTCAAATAACAATATATATATATATATATATATATATATATGTATGTATATGGAACCATCCAGCACTAGGACTTTTAATTCCACTCTCCTTGGATATAAAGTCACAGGTGAGGCAGATATTTCACAAGAAAAACTCACACCCCAAGTCTCTAGGGAGGTGAAATGGAAAAGACTTTTTTTTTTTTTTCCTTTTTATTTTCTGCTGCAGTTCTCAGGGCCAACATCACTATTGCACTTTTTCCCCCCTTCCCCCTCATATATATAAAAATCAGCTAAGCCGTTACAATCCATTAGTTTTTCCAGCAACATTTGAAACAGGAAACTGCAGATTTTTGTTTTTGAGAATACCTGAATACCTTAGGCTCTAAGGTTGGGCTTCAAGCAAACTCACACTATCCTGATGTATTTCTAGATAACTGAGAAATACATAATGAAAACAGCCTCCAGTAATATTGTAACCCCTAAAGGATTCATTTTCCCAAGTCATTTGCTGAAAATATCAGCAGAAATCCCTCAGAAAGCTTGGCAAAATTTAGTGGCTAACGATTTTCCTGCCGAATTTAAATTATCACTATATTTTAAATACAGCTTCCAGATGCTAGAGGAGCACTCCCCTTCTCTCCCTCCACCCCACTCTGCAGCCACTTCCCACCA